TGTGAATCAAATTAACTTACGGTGTAAATAATAAATGTAGTTAGTATTAATACCTAATTAGTGTGAAATCAAGTGTGATTTGGGATGAGATGGGTATAATGATGTGTATATTATGGTGCATGTTCTTCTTGTATAAGTGAACTTTTGAATTTTGATGCATGCATGGTGTGAGTGTGTGTTTTAATTTCAAGCTACCATGAAATGGGTGTTATGATGGGAACAACAGGGTGGTTGCAATAAATTTGAATACATAAATTTGCCAAAAATAATTGGTCAACAAGTATTTGATGCCCAGAATTAAATATATATTACACCATTATTTAATGCTCCAAACAAATAATTGCATAGAGCTTATTGATATATATAATAATGAAAAATGGGGATTAATTTCGACCTTAATTAGCAATTTTGGATTAAATTTCACCAATTTAACTCTAAACATGTCATGCCACTTGAATCCACAATTATGCATGACAAGTAAATCTCGATACTGCCAAGTACCTTGTGCTTAGATGGCACCTCTGTGACTCCTTTGGAGGGAAGCTAGGTCAGAGGACCGAACCCCGGTGGTAGGTTCTTGTCTCTTTGAACTGTAATAGTTTGAGAAAGTATAGAACATATAATACCTTGTAACAGATCAGAGTCTATAGTACCCAAAAAAAAAAAAAAAAAAAAAAAAATCTCAATACTCAAAATTATCAAAATAAAGCAACTTGGAGTTAAAGCTCACTTTCATGGGATTTAAATTCTCATCAACCTTAGCTTTCTCTCTTGGTGGAATTCATAACTACTTCCGTAACTAGTAGATCGACCAGAGGGATCTTAATTAATTATCAATTCCTAACATCATTAATAGATTGAAACAATGGAAAATATTAGAGTTTTAGGGGTGTATTCAATCATGACTTTTGTAGACTTTTAACGACTTTTAAAATGATAGATTTTAATAAACTTTGATGGACTTTCATAGAGTCGTTCAAAACTTTTTAAAACTTTATAAGACTCTATAAAAGTCTATATAAAAAACATTCATAGACTTTTATCAACTTTTTTATTTTAAAAAGTCTACAAAAGTCATTGAAATTCTAAATTGAATACACCCTTACAAACTTTCAATGATTTTAATTCTTATCATTTACAATTTTCTTACAAAACATTTATAATATATCATAAAATTCTTCTTATTATATAGTTCTTCACCCACATCAATATTCTCAACATTATTATTTTTATTCATAATATGCTGAGACTTATATGCTAATTGCTTATATATATTATTAATAAACATCAACAAAAAAAAACTATTTCATTAGAAATTCATAACAATATTGAACAATAAAATTATAATAAAAGACTTGATAATGAAGAAAATATAGGATAATGAAGAAAAAATAATTTTATTGAATTTAGATAGGTTTATAGAGTTTAAATAGGGAGAAAAATAGAGTTTAAATAGAGAGAGAGAGAGAGAAAACATTCAAAGTTGTTAGAAAGAAAAATTGAAATCTTGGGGTTGATGGTTGGATTTCAACTATTTATATTTGAGAAGGAAAAGTCTTCAAAAGTCTTAAAATTAAAAAGTCTACAAAAGTTCATAACTTTTTGAATACCACATGACTTTTAAAGACTCTTTAAAAGTCTTAATCGAATACCACACGACTTTTAAAGACTCTTTAAAAATCTTGATTGAATACCGCCCGACTTTTAAAGACTCTCTAAAAGTTTGAATTGAATACCTCCAAACTTTTAAAGTTCATAAAAATCTTTAAAACTCTATGAAAGTCATGATTGAATACACCCCCCTTAGTATACAAGAATCAATTCAAAATATTTCAATATTTGTTCACTTCAGGCATTTAATCCTAATAATTCTTTTTTTTTTTTCCCTCTACAAGTATGATCTTACTAATTAACACGTTGAAATTAAATACAACCCGTTTAAAATTCTAGCGACGGATCATATAATCCGTCGCTACAATATCCACACAAACAAAATTGTTCTTGAATATGTAGCGACGGATTCATATATCCATCGCTAGTCCGTTGCAATTAAAGTAATGAAATAAATCCGCGAAAATTCCGTCACAAGTCCGTCGCAAATCCGTCTCTAATATTTATGCTAAAATTTACCGCTAAAATTAGTTACGTATTTAACGACGGAATTAGTCCGTCACAATATCTGTCGTTAGTCCGTCACTATATATCCATTTAACCAAAAAAAAAAATACTCTCTCTAATCCGTCGTTATTGCGTAGCTAACTTAGCTACAGAATGCGTCCGTCGCTAAATCCGTCGTTATTTCGGTATTTTTTTTGTAGTGTAACATAAAGAGTTAATTTCATATCATTTTCGGTCTTAAATTTACAGGTGCCATTTTATTTTTAGTTTTTTTTTTTAAATATTATCTGTTGGTCTTAGTATTATTGTGACATGACCATTTTTTGTCTCTGTCAACAAATATATTTAAATGGCGTTAATAAATATGTGAGCATTTTAATCTATTCAGTTCTAAGTGTTAATTTCTTTTTTGGAGTGTTAATTTCTTTTTTGGACCTAGATTTATGTGTCGTTCCACTACTGCGAAGGCTCAAGTTGCAGAGACTCTGTTGTGGAGGCGTGAATTGCAATTGAAGAAGACATGAGACTCTAGCCGTCAATTAGAGATTTTTCAATAAAAATAAAGATATAGTGTGTAAACCTACTATACATTGTATAAAAGACTAAAATATCATAGTATTTAACGTTATTTAAACATATTTGTAAACGGAGGATTAAAAAATAGTAATGCATAGTAGGACCAACAGAGGATTTTTTTTTTTTTCAAAAAAAAAACTAAAAATAAAATTTTTCTACCACCGGAAATGGAATTAAATCTAACATAAATCTTCTCCATTGCGGTTTCATAATTATTGGGTTAACTTATCATTTTTTTGTGCAAATCTACCGAAAATGGAATTAAATCTAACATAACTCTAATAATGGTCCGACAATTGTGCATTAATGTACTATAGTTTGGTATGAGAGGCCCCAAGAAAGCTCCAAGAAATGCGATATGAATACGGACACACCTTCTGAAGAGACGGAACCGGCGGCGACCAATCGGTCGCCGGAGGAACCACTACTACGCGAGAGATCATCTAAGAAGTCCAAGAGAACCCGAGATCAGGTGGAATCGCCGATGACCTCACCACCGATGGACAGTGCAACAGAGGACCCCTTCTCGACGAACGTGAATTCAACAACAGAGGCATTCTCGGAATCTATAGATACGGAGACCGAAGGCAATCGATCGACCCCCATACCCCCACCCTTACCAGCTAGCTACAAGTTGAGCCTACGGAAGTTCATAACTTACAAGAAGGATGACCTTGAGGGCTGCGAGGACGACACTTCGGATGATGAAGGTTCAGATGAACAAGATGACCCAGAATGTCCAAGAATTAGACTATCAAAGGAGGAGAAACTCAGAATTAGGAAACCTTGGAGGAGAACCCTTATCATCCAGCTCATGGGTAAACCGATTGGCTACAACTTCTTAATCCGCCGGCTTCGTTCGCTATGGAAACCTGAAGGTCAGATGGAACTGATAGATCTTGAACACGACTATTTCCTGGCCAGATTTGAGCTCCAGAGAGACTATGACATCGCAAGATGCGAGGGCCCGTGGGTAATCCAGGATCACTACTTGGTTGTCCAGCAAAGGAAGCCTAATTTTAGACCACAGACAAACAAGATCCAGAAAATCTGCGTGTGGGTGCGACTTCCTGACATCCCAATTGAGTATTTTGATGAAGACACACTGATTAAACTGGGAGATAAAATTGGGAAGACGGTCAAGATCGACGATACTACTTGCCTGGCATCCCGAGGAGAGTTCGCACGCATCTGTGTAGAAATCGATATCACGAAGCAACTTCTTGCGAAATTCACAATCGAAAATGAGGAGTATCCGATAGAGTATGAAGGGATTCATCTCATCTGTTTCAAATGTGGCAAGTATGGACACAAATCGAAAGTCTGTGGCCTGAATATGCCTACACGACTTGACCCCATTCCAGAGTCTACGAGCGAGGAAGCATGTAATGATAAGGATAGTGTTCCACCCCAAGTACCGGACGAGAGACACCAGGAACAACCATCCAAAAACCACCTCAAAGAGAGATTTGGTCCTTGGATGCTAGTAACAAGGAAAGATCGGCGAGCAACAAGAAAATTTAGCAACCAAGGTTCTGGTCAGAGGCAGAACACGAAGGAAAGAACTCAAGCCCCTATTAACCAGAATAATTCCAACCAGCATAATTACGCATCCAGATTTGGTCCACTGAGTAACATGGAAGACGACAACTTGGGAGAGGAAGTGTTGGGAGAAGAGATCATAACTCAAAGGAACCTGGGTAAAGCACCTATTGATGACCCGCCGGCCGCTGCCCAGAATCCAACCCATCCCTCCACCTCCCAACAAAGAACGAGGACTAAGCAGCCTAGCTCTCACATTCATCAAGGAAGAAGGAAATCACCAAGCCCCCCCACGAATACTACTACCCCAGTTGACAGAGGTCCTGTCAGGCCTCCGACAGATGGATCTTCAAGATCGGTTGAGCAGAGAAGTGAGGATCCTAACAATCTCCTTTCTCCTACCAACCGGCTACCGGGAATTAGGACGGCGGGACCTTCCCAGCAGGACAGAAGGGAAAGGCCGTCTATCCCTCGAAGGGCAACAGCGGTTGATGAGCACACACTTGTGAGAGGGTCGGTGAGAGGACAACCAATATCAAGAACTACTGTCAACCACCGTCAGATTGACCCCGGGATAGACTCTGATCACCATACACCAAGCGCTGATGTCGAAATGGCTCCTGATGAGGGAGCTGATTTCTTTGACTGTGATACGCCAAATGAGGCTTTGGATGCTGCGAATCTGTCAGAAAGTCGGCATAGCCTGGCTTTGGGTCCCCCTACGCTCAATTGAGCTTGCTCCTCTTTCCCCCATTTGTTTTTAAATGAATGTTTTAGTTTGGAATTGCCAAGGGGCGGCATCAAGAACATTTCGCCGTACCCTCAAATTTTTCTTGCATGAGTATAAACCCAGTATTTTGTGCCTCCTGGAACCAAAAGTTTCGGGAGACCAAGCTAATGATATTTGCTTTGATCTTGGTTTCGATCAATGGCTTAGAGTCGAAGCCCTCGGCTTCTCGGGTGGTATATGGGTCCTTTGGAAAGATGTGCTCCAAGTAGCGACCCATAGGACCAACCCTCAGTTCATTTTATTGAGTATTAAAGAGGAAAATTCACAACCTTGGAATCTCTCCTTTGTATATGGCAGCCCGGATCACGCCCTCAGACAATACCTATTTGAGGAATTATCTCAAGTAGGCCTTAACTTGCAGGGACCGTGGCTCTCAGTTGGTGACTATAATTCTGTCCTTTCTATTAATGAGGTTTCTAGTACTAATCTATCTTCTACACGATGTGCAGGGTTTAGGAGATGGATTTTTGAGGAGGGATTAATTGATCTAGGCTGTGAGGGACCTCAATTTACATGGCGCAGAGGTCTTAGTGCAACCTCTTTTAGGGCAGCCAGGCTGGACCGTGCTCTGAGCAACCTTGAATGGAGATTACACTTCCTGGATGCAAGGGTATACCATTTGCCCATAGTCAACTCTGACCATGCCCCCATCCTTATCAGCACGATGTTAAGCCATAAGCAGTCTGGTCCGAAGGAGTTTAAGTACAATGCAACCTGGGCGTCACACCCGGAGTTCCCCAACTTCATCAAGAACAATTGGAACTCGGACCAATCACTTGAACAAGCCAAAAAGGCCCTAGCAACAAAGCTTCAAAGTTGGAACCGCAACTCTTTTGGGAATATATTCCAAAGGAAAAGAAGAGTCCTAGCAAGAATCAAAGGAACACAAAGAGCTCTTGATAGTCACCCAAGGACTGACTTGATCAAGCTGAATAACAAACTGCATAAGGAGCTAGATGAAATCCCTAATCAAGAAGAACTCTATTGGTTTCAGAGGTCGCGGGAAGACTGGATAGCAACCGGGGACCGGAACACAGGTTTTTATCATGCTGCCACAGCTGTCAGAAAGGCATATTCGAAAATCACCAGGTTAAAGAACTGTCAAGGGGATTGGCTGGATTCAGATGAGGACATTTTGGATCATATTACTCAATTCTTCAGAGAGCTATATACGGAAGAGGACAGCAATATAGTCCACACGACCTGGAGTAAGACATTCCCAACTTTGCACAAAACCGTATGGGATTATGTAAACGCCCTTGTCACACCCGCAGAAATCAAGCTGGCATGCTTCGATATGGCCCCCTTCAAAGCCCCCGGCCCCGATGGGTACCATGCTGGCTTTTTCCAACAAAACTAGTCGGTGGTGGGAGAAAGCTTCGTGTCCTTTGTAATGGATTACTTCAAAACTGGCGTTCTTGCAGAAGGATGTAATGATGCGATCATAACTTTGATACCAAAAGTGCCGAATCCAGAAAATGCTAAGCAGCTTAGACCCATCAGCTTATGCAACACTTCATACAAGGTTATTTCGAAGACTCTTACTACTAGACTGAAGTTAGCCATCCAGAAACTCATTGGACAAAATCAGTCAAGCTTCGTCCCCGGGCGTCAAATAGTGGACAATATAATCACATACCAAGAGCTCTTAAATACAGCCAACCGGAAAAAAGGGAAAACAGGGCTAATGCTCCTAAAGATTGATCTTGAGAAGGCTTATGATAGGTTATCATGGAGTTTTATCCACGACACCCTCCAAGAGGCAGGTTTCAGTAATCTCTGGGTTAGACATATCATGGGTTGCATTACAACAGAAAGATTGGCAGTCTCCATTAACGGCAAGCACTCACAATGGCTCAAGCCATCAAGGGGCATCCGACAAGGTGATCCTATATCCCCGCTTATCTTCGTACTATGTATTGAACGATTAAGCCACCTTATCCATGAGAAGGTGGAGGAAGGTCTTTGGAAAGGGATTAAAGTAGCCAGAAATGGGCCGTGTATTTCTCACCTTCTTTTTGCCGATGATATGGTCCTCTATGGAGAGGCATCAACACAACAAGCACGGGTAATCAAACATTGCTTGGACCTTTTTTGCAATAGCTCAGGGCAGAAGGTGAACTTCGACAAATCCCTACTGCATTTTTCGAAGAACACTCCTTCTACTATCCAACAAGAAGTAGCTGAGATTCTGGGTATTAAAGTTACTGACAACTTGGGCAGATACTTGGGGGTACCGTCTCACCACGACAGACTGAAAAAAGACTCCTTTCAAGGGATTGTTGATAAGGTTCGTGATAGATTATCAGGCTGGAAAATGAAAACACTCACCTTAGCAGGAAGGAAGGTCCTTGCCCAAGCAATTCTCTTGGCCATACCTATGTACGCAATGCAATCTACGCTTATTCCCCTGGGAATCATTGATGAAATCGAAAAACTTATTCGAGCCTTCCTATGGGGAGGGTCTGTCAATAATAGGAAGTGCAACCTTGTGGCATGGGATACAGTTACGAAGGAAACTAAGGATGGAGGTATTGGAATTAGGAATCTGGCAAACATGAATTTAGCTTTTATGATGAAATTGGGATGGAGATTGCACTCGGTCGAAGAAGGATTATGGGCACAAATTTTGAAGGCCAAGTATGGAGTTCAGGCTCTAGATCCTAACACATGGCAGCCAAAGTCAGGGATGTCTAATGCTTGGAAAGGGATCCTAAAGACAACACCTAACCTGAAAAAAGGTCTTAGAAAAGCTGTGGCGAATGGAAAGAATACAATGTTTTGGTTGGAACCATTGATAGACCACCAACCCTTGATCAACTTCATTACAGTTACCCTGCCCTTACCAATCCTGTATGCAAGAGTCTCAGATTACTGGGAAACTACCAGAGGATGGAAATGGGATGAACTCATGGACCTTTTGCCAACTCAGGTCCTACAGAAGCTGGAAGCCTTCATCTTAACAGAGAGCGATGAAGTGGAGGATGTTACTAGTTGGGGCTGTAATTCCACCGGTGAGTTCACTGTCTCGTCAGCTTACTCATTTATATCCAATCCTCACCCCCAACCTGAGACGCGCGTTTGGAGCAATATCTGGAAGCTCAAAATTCCGAGCAAAATGCAATTCCTCCTTTGGCTAATCAGGCATGATAGGATCATGTCAAACGAAAATAGATTCAAGAGAGGCTTCACGGATAATGCATATTGTGATTTCTGTGGTGATCAAATAGAATCAACGGAGCACATCTTCAGGGCCTGTCCTAAGGCTAGGACATTATGGGAAGCAGTCATACCTAACACGGATATAAATACCAACACTTCGACGTTCCTTGAGTGGTTTGATGCTGGTGTTAAAGGCTGGGGATGTAATAGACGAAAGCATAATAATAACATCACCTTCGCGGTAGCAATCTGGTGGCTATGGAGGTGGAGAAATGACAGGATCTTCAATGGTAAGGACTCAAGCCTAGACAAGAAAGTCTACTGGATTCACTCACAATGTAGAGACATCAATGAGGCCTTTAACAAATCAGGTATGATGAGGACAAAAGCAGCAACACGTAAGTGGAGACTTATCAGGTGGACCAGACCACCAGACGGCTGGTCAAAAATTAATATTGACGCATGCCTCAACACCACCACAAACCAAGCTAGATGTGGAGGATTAATCAGGGATGATCAAGGAAGATGGTCCAAAGGATTCACATATGCCATCGGGGCTTGCTCGATCGACGCCGCAGAAGCGTGGGCACTCCTGAGAGGTATTCAATTAGCCATCACTCTGAGACTGAATATGGTTTGTTTCGAAAGTGACTCCATGAAGATAGTTAGAGCTGTGAACCAGGAAAGGGTTGTGGACAATGTTGCAAGATACATTATTCATGCATGCAGACGAGAACTTAACAACATAGCTAACTGGACCATAATGTACGTTCCCAGAGAACAAAATCGAGCAGCAGACTACCTAGCCAACTTACCCAGTCCACATGTCGGCCTAAAGATTTATGATGAGGCCCCAGATGACCTCAAGATGATCCTAGAAGAGGACAAAGCCGGTATTCCAGTCTGGAGGCAATTAGATAATCCTACTATGTAATTTGGGTTTCCCCCTTCCATATTTTCTAAAAATCTAACATAACTCTGTTATGTTTTGTTTTTTCTTTTTCATTTTTTAAATGAGCTATGAGAGTAAAATGCATTAAAAAAAAAAACCATTTTGTTCTTTTCTCCGTTAATCAATTTTCTTTTTGAATGTTATGGACTCTATTACAATGTAGTATTTGTTCATACATACTTTTCAACCTACTGAAACACAAAGAGTCAATGCCCCCATACATAGAGTATATTGATCATATCAACTTCTTTTATTAAAAAAAAAAAAACAATTCTTTTCACCATATGACAAAAATGTTTTTTTTTTTTTTTTTTTTTTTACAACTCCCATCCAGAGTCAAACTTAAAATTTTGTGGTTATCAAACAAATTATTTGACGATAATAAGTTGATGAGATATTGACTTTTTGAGTGAGTGATTTAACCAGGCATATTTATTTTGAGGACCAAAACTGCATTTAACTAATTAACTCTATGTATAATTTCAAATGATATGATGAAGATGGAGAGGTAGTAAATAAATTTTTTCGATTGTTGATTCAGTAAAAACTTTGTGTTTTGGAACCTTTTATCGATTAATGTTTAATTTTAATTAATTAATCATTTGCTCATCATTGAAGTTCTGTAGTATTTTTTTTTTTTGAAAGCGAAGTTCTGTAGTATTAATTTGTAATGTAATGAAGATTTTAAAGTTATAAATAGGGAAAATGACACTTTTTCCCTCTGTGTTATATGCTTATAGTACTTTTTCTCCTTGAGTTATTCATGCATTCACATTTGCCCCCTCAATTATTATAATAGTGACGGTTTTTCCCTCCTGATAATATTAAATGGACATTTCTACCCTTAAAATAAATATTTTATTTATTTCTCTTCTTCAACAAATTATTGCTTATACGTAGGGATGACCACGGTTCGGTTCGAACTGAACCAAACACTATAGCAATCAAATTAAAAAATTTCGGTTATGATTCATAACATAACCCAATATTTGGGTTTCCGTTTATTAAAATCATGAACTGGAAAAAAATGGATCCTGAACCGTGAACCGGAGGTTCAAATCGGAACAACTACTAGTTTAAATTAGAATTATAATATTTGCAAATAGTGTATGTTTTTTTCCGCATTTATATTGACTCTCACATATAAGTATATATAATCGCGGTTTGAGTTTTATTTTGAACCGTCGGTTCACGATTTTGGATCCAATTTGAACGGTTGGTTCAAACTTTCTTTTAAAATTTTATTTTTTTATTTTTAAAATATTCTAAATTCAACACTTAATGTATTTTATTTTTTCAAATCGTGATTATAATTTGTTGGAGAAGAAAAATAAATGAAATATTTTCATTTATTTTAAGGGAAAATATGTCCATTTAATATATCAGGGGGAAAAAATTGCCACTTAAATAATTTAGGGGGAAAAAGTACTATAAGTATATAACAAAGGGGGAAAAAGTGTCATTTTCCCTTATAAATATTAAGAACATGTTAAAAGCTCATGATTGGAAATGATACCAAATTAACACTTTTTTTTTTTCCTTTCAAAGTTTTGAATTATGAAATTTCTTTCAACTTTTAATAGATGTGTATTATAAAATTGACAAAACTATTTATATAAGTGACCATTTATAAGATAAAAAATTCATCAATCCAAGACACCCATAATAAATGTAAAAACGAAACTAAAATTAGAATTTGTTGTATATGAGAAATATCATGACAGCATTGGAATTACCTTAAAGATAGATCAAGAAATCCAATGCAAATTTCTTTTTGCCTTAGCCTTTAAGTCCTAATAATTATGCTTAAATATCTGGGTAGTACTTCTAATAATTTAAGCGTGACTCTTTCCCTTCCCTGCAGTGATCTGAGCGGTTATAACTAGATAATGCACATTTGGTGAAAATGCACACGAGTGAGATTTATTTAGAGAACACTCTTTTCTAGTAAATATAGATTTTTCTCGTCATTTAAAATATATATGGTGGAAAATGCCGCAGTTAATAATTTTTCCAATATATTACATTCAAAAAAATTATTTCAACAAAATGTGACAAAATTGTGTGTATATATCATGGTTGCAATAGGCGCTAGGCCTTAGTCGGGTGGTAGAGTAGCGCCTAGCGCCTAGACAGCCTAGGCGGGCTAGGCGGTCGCCTAGGCGGCTAACTAAAAAAAAAAAAACAGTGCACATGTGTATGTGCATATATGTCATATTATATATATATATATATATATATATATA